ATGTTTCCAGCATGAAATATTGCTTCTGGGGAAGTAAGCTAAATAAATTAAACATGGAATGAAGATTTGTCCTTAATGCCATTTTACAAAAGAAGACTTTGATATTTGTTTTTCACAAGTGAAGCATTCTTATAAAGTGTCACTTAACCTTTTACAGGGAACCTCTGGGAAAATGGAGAAACTCTAGGCTTCACTCTCCTAACCTCTCTTTGAGGGCTCCTGCAGCTCCTGCAAGAAATGAGTGGCTGCTTGAGATTCTGAATTGCATGGCAGGGCTACTCATCAAACCTTTCCCTTTAGTGTCTCTGTAGTATATAAAGGATTTAAGTAACTGTGGTTCCTTTGGCATCCCAAGGCCTAATGCACTGACTTTCTTTCCCATCCTAGGGTTGGCATTTCTGTGAGCCACACATTTAGTCTCAAGCTCTACTCTACAGGATTCAAAGAGCCTAAAAGTGTAAAATATTTTAAAAGGGGAAAGAGACAAAAGGAAGAAAATAAAATCAGCATACATTCGCTCACTGTATTAAACTTTTCAAACCACTTTTTGTAATCTAATTAAAATTGAAGCTTGACAACATCATTTAGCATTTATGTCCTTGGGCAAAAGTTTGGAATCCTGAAAAAAGAAATTTAATTTGCTAATAAATATATTTTGAGTGAATTGAAATCTTATATTACTTCAAATAAGAACACAAGATGAATTACTATGATACAGAAATTCTATCTCATTGTCCAAAATCTGTGGTTAAATTGAACTTATTGAATAACCAATATGATTTATGAGCATGTAAAGCACATCTGGAATCCATAATACTTTGGGAGGCAGCCATGAAAAGCAGGTGGATTGTTAGAAGGCGAGGGTTGCAGACTGAGTGTTGACATTATATGGTAAAAACCCAATCTCAGCCAGAGTGTGGTGACACCTGTAGTGCCAGTATAGGAGGATGAGGTGGGAGGATCACGTAAGCCTGGGGGAGGCGGAGGCTGCAGTGCACTGTAGTTGTGCACTGCACTCCAGCTTGCTGGGCAACAGACTGAGACCCTGTCTCTCAAAGAAGAAGAGAGAAAGAGAGGAACAAAAAGACAAGAAAGAAAATAAAAGAAGCTTTGCAGAAAGGAAGGAGGGAAGGAAGGAAGGAAGGGAAGGAAGGAAGGGAAGGGAAGGAAGGGAAGGAAGGAAGGAAGGAAGGAAGGAAGGGAGAGAAAGAAAGGAAAGAAAGACAAAAAATAGCAATATTTCTTGAGTGTAACAATCTTTGTAAGTGCTATGGAATTTTGCGCTGTGAAATAGATTTAACTAGTTGCTTGACATGATTTAAAGTGTACTGACCTAGCAATCAGAGACCTCAAGATCCCACAATGACTTGACAGTTACATTTGACAAGAATTGATTCTCCTATCAGCATACAAGCAGTCAGATTTCGGAGCTCAACTTACCATGCTGTTATTGCGCATTATGTGCTGTCTATGAGGCTACCTGCGTCCATTTTTCTCTTAAAATACTACTATGGCGAAATTTACTACAGTTTTTATAATTAACATATCAAGCATTATACTTTCAGGCAGATGCTTGTTTCTCAGTAAATATTTTGCTAATGTTTTAGTACAAGCAAGGAAGGAATTGGATTGTGATATTTGCTGACACTGTTGATTCTCTCTTTTGCAAGTATTTTAATTGTTTTTAAAAACTTGTTTTCAGATGACAGGTATTTTGAGTCTGTTCCAAATTGAAAATACTATATCATTACTTACCTTTTTTAAAAAGTGCTGTGGAACATATTTTCATTAAACAGTTCTAAATGAAGCAAACAGGAGGACGGAGATCAGTAAATGGGGCTTTTTCTTGGCATGGAACGCATTTGTAGGCTTTCAAACACCTCCCAAATGGATTCTTGAAAAAAGAGGTACATAATAACAAATGCTCTAAAAGGCAGGTTCACTTTTAGTGGGCTTTGAAATACAGAGTCAATAATCAAAGAGACTAATCAGTCAAAGCTGAAATATCTTGAAGAGAGAACATAAAATGAGAGATCAGGCCCTTAAATTATTTTAATATTAATCCTACCCATGAGATAAAGCACTGTAGTTTTTTAATTGGTCACAAGGGAAAATAGTTTCAAGAACCATTCTTTGCAGAGCTATTAAAAGCAGATTTTTACATTTTTATGAAGCAATGACATTTTGTGCTAAAGTAGATAACTATCCACATTACTGATGGCATATGTAGACAATTCATTCTCAATAAAAACGCTTTATTCCACAAGTACTGATGATTATCTCGTTTGATTTGATGCTGAGAATGAGGGGACTAATAAAATTGCACTTTAGGATTTGCAAGCAGCTTAACTGGAGAAATCACGATCATATTCAACTCATATCACGGCTGAAATAAAAAAAAGAAACCAAACTTGAAAATAAACAAGAAAAAAATTATTTCACATAGACATTTGCTTCTCTCTAAAGTCAAAATGACATGTTGCTGTGTAAGCATCTGAGGTCATTCACAAAGTCTACACTGTTTCTGGGAGATAAAAACAAAACACATCCTTTCAGAAGGTTAAACCTCCACCTATCACCACACAGAGACCAGGCAAAGGATCCTGCTTCTACAGGATGGATGGAGAGAGAAACTGCCTCCATCAGGAGGGCAAGGATTGTTTCTACTAGGGTCTGAGGATTTTGCACTAATGCAAGTCGTGCTACTGTGGTAAGGGTTGGAAAATCCATCCGTTACAGACAAGATCATTGTTCCTATGGAAGGGAGAAAAGAAGGTTTATGCCTGTTATTAGGTTTGAAACTTTAATGTTGATATAAATCTAAGGTTTTCTTACACCCACTGAGGTGGGAGGAGGCAAGGAGCCAGTTTCTTCCTTGTGGCATAGCACAGATAAGTGATAGGTTTGACTCCTACTGGAGCAGAGTAGCAGAGTGCTAAAAATATCAGCACCAAGGAGGTCTAATGATAAATGGCTCAAAAATAACACTTCTGAATCCTCATCCCTCTGCCCAACCTGATTTTTCTGCCTAGTCACACGAAACAGATGTTCTGATTTAAGAGGAACAAGTGGAAGACCCTCTCTGTGGCAGCATAATTGATAGGACTACGAAGGAAGGTAACTGTAGAACCAGGAAACCATAGCATATGCCTGCAGAGCCTAAGGCCCCCACAGGCATATTGCCAGCAGCTATGCTTTGCAGAAATTTAAGTTATATAGTTCTGAATCAGCACAGACACACAGCAAAACCAACAACTTGTTCCTGCCCACTAATACTTTGTTACAAGAGCTAAAATGAAGTGAAACCTAAAACAATCTTAATATAGTAATTATCTCATGAGCTACTGTTTTTGTACATCTGATTGCATCTTTTAGAAAATTGGGAGGCCTACATAAGCAAGTTAGAAATTTGGGTTGCAGTTGTTGCAATAATACACAAAGATAAAAGTCAACAGAATCAAATTCAGGAATATATTCAGATGTTGACAACCAAGAACTAAATGCAATTTAAAATAATAAATCCAAAATATTTAAGGATCTGGTTAAAAAAAGACATGCATGCAAAAATGGGAATTTCACCTCACTGGCAGGATGGCGAACCGGTAAAAGGCAAGAAAGCTGAAATAAGTGGCAGAACAGAGGTGAAAGTACATCTCATAAGCTGATTGGCAGCCTGGTCATCCAGTTAAAAGAAGCAGTAGAATTTCATAATAAGTCCAACCCAAATTATTTGAATGGCAGCACAAAGGGAGGAAAAGAGATAAACAAAATAAACCAATAGACCCAGCAAATAAAATACTCCCAAGAGTCTAGAATTCTTTAGCAGTAATATGAAATTAACTAAAATACAATTAATTGGAATTATGAAGGAGATTAAAAGCAAGTGTGAGAGAAGAAAAATTTGAAAAAGATGACTGAGGACCGTCTATCAAAAGCTCAAAGAAAGATTAATAAATTTAAAAGCTGGGAATAATCTAAATCAACGATGAAAACCAACAGTGCATAAATCTTGCGTTCAGTCACAGAAAAATAGAACATTATTATTACACGAGATAAGCAGAAACAAAAACATTACAGTGAGCTGCTTGTCGCAAGCTCTGGAAGTCCACAAATAGCGATACGAATTTTTTTAAATATACTTTGAAAAAAGTCAGTCATGAAATCTTATCTATCCATTACTTTATATCTTCAAAATAACAATTAAGCTCAGAGAACATTTCAGTTAACACTGGAAGGAGTCCGCTTGATAACAGGTCTGCATTAAATAAATGCTCAGCAAGCGATTTCTTGAAACCAAAGAGAATATGGGAAGCAGATGAATGCTGAAACTACACAAAGAAATAAAAAGTGCCAGGAAGATATAAAGATATGTTTAGCCCAATTATTTTGTTACTCTAAAGGTCTGGATTCCTATAATTTTTTAAAAAAGTAGCTACATCATGGAATTCATAATATATGAGACTATAATGCATATTACCATAAATAGGTACTTAAGGAGGAAACGAAACTACCATTAGTTTTACATACAATAGTTGATATATTTAAGAACTATAGGTTACTGTATTACAGCTAGAATAGGTATTAAAAAGTCTCTAGAGAGAAACAATGAATATTTTTAAAAAGATTATATATGCATTAATGTTTTCATAGAGGCTTCTAGTTTATTTATTTTATTTATTTTTGGGAGGCCTTGATCTAGACCTGGGTACAAGCTGGCGTGATCTCAGCTCACTGCAACCTCCACTTTCCCCAGGTTCCAATGATTTGCCTTACTCTCGGCCTCCCGATTACCTGGGATTGGTCCCCCAGGTGCATAGTGTGTATGTGAATGTTCTTCCATTCTGTGGCTGCACTTCTGTTCAATACAGCAGTAGTTTCTCCTTTTTGTGCAGAAGAAATCTTTAGTTTAATTAAATCCACATTTGTCAGTTTCATTTTTCTGGCAATTGCTTTTGATACTTACCACAAATTATTCTGAAAGAGAGTGCAATGTCAGGCTCATATTTCCTAGTTTTTCTTCCAGGATTTTGTGATCAGAGGATGTAATCTTATGCCAATGGGCCTTATTAATCAAATGACTCCACAGTGAGAATCATTACTCTGAAAAATAAATTTTGTTATAATGATAAATTTAAATATTGAAGTAAAATAGATGCCACCTTTTTGCTAGAATTCTAGAAACTGGAAGTGCTATATAAGAGGCAGGCCAAATATATATATCTCTCAAAATATAGTTTGCAGTGAATAAATGAAGCACATCTCAATAAATAAGCTTACCTGATTTTACAAACTAACCTGTAAAGGAATTTCCTCATTTCCTATTGCCTGCAGTACTTTCTTTAGATCAATTTGTTGCCACACTCCACAATTTATCTTCACTGTGTGTTCTTTCTTTACTTTATATACATCTTAAGATTTAATATTTCTTCTTCCAACATATTTTATCCTCTATATCAAATTTTTACATTCTGTTGTACTTTTTCATGTAGAATGCTTCTCCCATTGAATAACAGTTTTATTTGTCAAATAGACGCATATTTTGAAGATACAACTCCCAGCTGTGTTGTAAGATCATCAAACTACCGGTAATAAAATAATACAGCAATTAATGAAGGAGGCTGAGAATAATCTCCATAAACAATGTACAAATTTTGAAATACATTTACTTGCAATAAAATGTTATCTATAATATACATTCTTTAAATGTTAACCCCTTAGCAGGAGATTATAGAGGTCGAGAACAAAGTAAAAGCCACCATAAGTCACAATCTTGCTGTTTACTATAATCTTTGCAGAACTTTGCATGATCTTTCTTTCTGATAATTTGTGTTTTGTTCCTCCTAAATGGCTCCAAGTTAACTCTTACTTTAGAAAGTTTCAGGCTTCTCTCATCATCATGCCCCAAAAGATTTATCAAAAAATCTCAAACATTATATTTAATTATTTAGGCCAAAATCAACAAATGGATCTTAAGAATAAGACTTTGAAAAGATGTAATACTCTATGCTGAGCAGCAGTGGCTCATGCCTGTAATCCCAGCACTTTAGGAGGTTATGTCAGCAGAAAGATGACGTGAGGCGGGGTGAGACCAGCTGGGGCAACATAGTGATACCATACTCTCAACAACAACAACAACAACAGCAACCCAAAACAACAACAGCAACACATTTTAAAAACTATGTGACATGGTACCTTATGTTTGCAGCTCAACTAGTTTGGGGAGGCCAAAGGCAAAAAAGGATGGATGGGACTCAGAGTTCTCATAGCGGTGTTGATTATTACTACTTATAATAAAATCCTGTGCACTTCTGCCTGTGGATGAGAGACAGGAACCATATCTCAAAAGCACAAAACATAATCCTTAAATAAGGATTCATCTATTACCGTGGCCTTTCCCTAGGCTGTAAATGTTTATGCTAATTTGGTGCATTTAAAACATAAAATCCTCTCAAGATGGCTTGTGTGGAGGCCTTAGAAGAAACCCATACAGTGCCATACAAGCCCTGAGACATGGACTGGAGCCCTAAAGCAAGCACACACACCTACCCACTGAGCCTGCTGCTGTTTACTCACTCTGTGGCTTTCCATTTGCAGCACAGTTGCGCAGGAGGCATGCACATACCTGGCAAGCGAAGCTGGATCAAGAGCAAGGCCAAGTCTGCAGGGTGTGCCAGGAGCCAGTGGACCAGCACCAGCCTCACTCACTGCCGTTCGGGGTACAGCATTCCTTCTATCCTAGAGGTAGGGCCTCAGGCTGCCATCTGCTTTTCCTTAGGCCTCTGCTCCAGCCATCAGGTGGCAAGCCCTCCAGGCTGTGAACACAATGACCATCCCTGCGCTTTCCTTCAGTGGGTGAGGGTTGGTGACTGGTCCAACTGCTGCAAGGTGTACCCAGGAGCAGGTGGACCAGCCACCAGCCTCTCACTCACTGATGGGTCAGGGTATGCCTCATTTCTTCTACCCTAGAGGGAAGGCCTCAGTGCCATCTACTTTTCCTCAAGCTTCTGCTCTGTCAGCCATCAGGTGGCAGCCAGTCGGCCTATTGGGACCTGGCCATCCCCTTCCATGCCCTTGAGTGGGTGAGGTTGGGCCACGCTGGTGCAACTGTCAGGCGCACCCCTTACCCAGAGACTGGCTGGTTGGTCTTTGAGCCCAGGATGGCCTTGCCGCCACATGTGCATGCCCAGCTGTTCCGAAGTGATCTTCTCTACCTGAGGCCCAAATTAGGTGACCAGGGTCATGGCCGAGTCCACTTCCCGGGTTTAAATCCTGGCTGCTTTCTGCTTGAACGCAAACTCCTCCTCAAGATAGCCTGTAATTCTCCTTGTTTAACAAGCCATAGTGCCATCTGAGGCCTGAAGAATTGACTGGAGCCCTAAGGCAGTACCTGCCTGCTCCTGGAGCCTGCTACCCCTTTCCTCTATATGACTCCATTTACATAAGACAATTGTTGCCTGGGGTTTTTGTACATGCCAGGCAAGGCAGAAGCTGAGCTCAAGGCAACCAGCCACCTCTACAAGGGTTGTACAGGGGAGCCGGAGCAGCCACCAGCACCACTCACTGCCACTCAGTACATCAGTTCTACCTAGAGTGGACCCCAGGAGTGCCATCTACTTTTCCTCAGGCCTCTGCTCCATCAGCCATCAGGTGGCAGTCACACTCAGTGTCTGTTGGAATCAAGCATCCTGCTTCCCCCTTACCTTGAGTGGGTGAGGACTGGTGGCACACACTCCCACACCTGTTCAAGGCACCCACTGCAGAGGTGGCTGGTTGCTCTTGAGCCAGCTTGGCCTTACCTGGCATGCACAAGACCACAGGTACCAGTGCGGCTCTGAGTGAGCCTTGTCCCTGCCTGAGGCCAAATTCTATGTCTAGCCAGGGCCACAGAAGGCCTGGACCCTGGAGTGGGGGAAATCCTTTCTGCTTTCTGCACTTGAACACCCAAGTCCTCCTCAAGACGGCCTGTGGGTGTTACTGCCTCTTCAGCTTGAAGAAGCCTGCAATTACCATCTGAGCCCTGAGAGTGGCTGGAGCCTAAAGGCAGCCCACCTGCTCCCTGAGCCTCCTGCTCCTTTCCTCTGAAATACATTTGTAAGACCTAAAGTGTTGCACTGGGAAACAGCATGCCAGGCAAGCCCAAGCTGGCTCAAGAGCAGCCACCTCAAAGGGTGTGCGAGAGCTGGTGGGCAGCCACCAACCTCACTCGATGCCGCTCAAATTGCATCAGTTCCTATATCCCTGGGGGTAGGGCCCAGTACCATCTCGTTTTCTCCCTACAGGCCTCTGCTCCATCAGCCATCAAGTGGCAGCTGATCTGTTGGAACCTTGCCATCTCTCCTTCAGGTGGGTGAGTTGTGTGTTGGCTGTTCCACAGTTTGAGCACAACCCCCTTGCAGATCTTTGGCTGTTTATATGAACCCAGCAGCTTTACACTACTGTATGCACAGACCACCTTCTACCATGTGCCTCTGAAGGTGACTTGTTCTGAGATAAATTCTAAATCAGCCAGGGCCTGAGCCAGTCACTGGGTAGGCTTCTGGCTGAAAAAAGAGCCCTGCCATCCCCCCATGTGCTCCCTTTGCACTTCAACATAAAGTCATCCTGAAGATGCGCTGTGGCTGCCTCTTGGCAGCAGAAGCCTGCTGGTATCAGGCTGGGGGGGTTTCCGAGGACTGGAACACCGAGGCAGCTCACCCCATGCTCCTGAACCTCTGCTCCCTTTTCTCTGTGCTTGGCTCCATTTTGGAAGCCACAGTTGTTACTGAGGCTTTGCTGCACGTGCCAGTCAGGCCAAGCTGGCTCCAAGGCTCAAGCGGCAGCATGTCTGCTGCAGGGATCCACACCTGGAGCAGGTGGACCACTGTAACCCTGACCACTCAGGAAACGGGGGTCGTGTTGTACCACATGCATTTCACTGAAAGTATCTTTCTCCATGGTTGAGTAGCCTGGGTTTTCTTCTAGGTTTTTATGGTTTTAGGTCTTGCATTTAACTCTTTGCAATCCATCTTAAGTTAATTTTTACACTTTATTAGTGTGAAGATGGCCCCCAAGTTTCAGTTTCTGCCTGCTGTGTAAACACAGCCCCAGTTTTCCCAACACCATTTATTGAACAGAAATCCTTTCCCATTGCTTATTTTATGTGTGAAGGGCTAGAGAGAGGGGATGGCATTGCTTTGAAATCCGCGAAGTATGCGATCGCACTGGTTGATGATTGGCAAGCCAGTGGCATCGGCGTGCATCCGCCAGGCAATGCATATTCTGCCTGCGATACCACCGTGAGCTTGCGGGAAGTATAATGAATTTACAAGAGAAATTTGGCACTACAAGTAAACTTTTAATCACTTAGAACTTTAAAATCATTTTGTCACTTTTTACTACCGCATCATGCTTTGGGACAAGCTGCAGGGATCTGTTTACAAAGAAAAGCACAAATATCAAACAGAAACAGCTAGACTTGAGACCAAGCTCAGGTTCTGCTTAGTGAACCATGGGACAGTCTTACAACATTATTACCAAAACTACTCTCTGGCCATGGCCTTATGGCTAGCAAGGTGGCTGCTTATTATATAGATGATCAACATCACCCATCTAACAACAGCAAAAATCTGTTTCTGACTAACTGGATGATTTTTTTTTTTCAGCTTTCGATCACAGGACTTTGTGAATTCAGATGCCTTGCTCCCCCACAATTTGGGAACATTCCCTTGGATTTGAAGGCCAAGTTAGCTGCTGGGAAGAGAATCAGGAGAAGGGAGAGTGAGCAACAACAGTAAACCCCAGACACAAACGAGCTTTACAAAGGAATTGAGCCAAACGAAACAAATGCATAACATTACCTTGATTAGTAAGGTGTTCTCATTGGTAAGGAAATTAAAAGCAGCTGGTGGGTAATCTTAGAAGTTTTTAGTCATTAAAAAAATTTTAAGACAAAATTCTAATTCTTTAAGCTACTTACCTGCCTGGAAATAAGGCTCAAGCTGGTGATGGATTTCTCTGCCATCTTGAGGCTGGAAAAAGCGACCTTACACCTTTCCTGTCCAGAAGCAGAGCGGAAACTCCTGGGAAAGGAGGTGCCTGCTCTCCATCGCCATGGAAGCAAG